CACCATGGAGCCAGAAGAAACACTGGAGGACTCCAACCTGGTCAGGAACCAGAGCAACAGCCAGACCAAGGTAAAAAGGTATAGGACATCCCCACCTCAACCAGTCCAGTCGAAAGGAATCTACTACAATGGGGCTTGCAATCGGGGAAAGGTGCTGCAGATAGAGGAAGGTGCAAACCATGCCAACACAAAAGGCCCAGACGTCCTACAAAGCCACAGGAAGGAGGCGGCATTGACAGTCCACACAATGGAGACGGGATGGAACCAGGATAGACCATTGGCGAGGATGTTGGACACTCCCTGGAGATGAATGACACAGAGAACCAAACCCTGAGAAGCCTGAAGAAGTGCTACAACTAGTGTCTAGCTCCAAAGATGCCAGCACTGAAGTGAACCCCCCAGTTAAGGCAATGAACTACTGGGAGCAGTCTGAATGGAGCTGGAGCCTGGAATCTGGAAGAATTCTAACCCTTTGCAGTGCATACCACAAACTCCCGAACCATTCTGAGGGGCCCAACAAAGGAGAGGAAACCAACGACCCTGGCCAGCTTGGTGAGTGTGGGTCCACAAAGCCCCAACCCACAGCCATAGTACAATAATTGATCATATAGTGCAATAATCGATCATCATTTTTAGGGGGGGGGGTTAAGGTGGAATATTGACCTGACTACTACATACAATTTAGAGAACTCTAATATATTTAATTTATCTTGTTCACTTTACTATTCAAAAGCTCTTTTGCTTGTAGGTCATATCTTTACTTCATACTTGCACTGTAACACTGTTCAAGGGGAACACACAAAACATCGATCATATCCGACCACAATATGTGGTACAATAACAGAGATTAGTATTCAACTCCCTTTACAGTACTATAATAAAGACGGTCAATAACGTAAACCAACATAAAACACAAACAAAAACAGCAAACTTAAATGAAACAAAATATTAATTAAGCAAGAATTTATTTATACTTTACTTCTATAAAGATATACTGTATAAAAAAATGATAAAGTGGAACTCTAAATGTATATACTTATATACACAGTATGTATATACAAATATATACATATAGACCTGTTGTATTGTCGTCACACTGGAGGTTAAATGACACTGCGTTCAGAGTGTGTCAATGGCATCAGGAATGAATAATGAGCTTTATCAGTGATTCTTGTGTTCAGAATAACAAATGTTGAACCACGTTCAATCAATGTTGTGTTAAAACACAAATGTTATTATCTTCACTAGAACCCCCAATACAGCTCATTACTCATATTTGATACTGTAAACATAGTCTGAAGAGAACTACTTTCCTCTTTACCAGTACATGAGTGACGTCACATACAATGGGTAATTATATATGTTTGCATGTACACATACTGAATATACGTGTGTGTATGTATGAATGAATGTATGTATGTGTGACTGTATAATGGTTTGTGTCTGGTTATTCTCAACAAGCCAATAAAATGTTTGGTTAGAGAGGCATTTTAATTTTTTTTAAGGCTGCCAGAACGTGGTAAGAGTTATATTACTACTGTATACTGTAATTATACTCTAGACAATCTAAAAGTTAACTGACAGTGTCTTGTGGACATGACAGCAACAGCTGCACTTTCAAAGAGTAAGTCATACACTTAAAATTACCAACATATTAACTACTAACTGCCACTTGAGACAAATGCACAAAGAAAACACGCAGTAGAAATAAAAACCCAAGGTCTCTCCCAAGAAGTAGAGAACAGGGAGGTAACCATTGAGAAAATATTTCCACTACATTTTTTGCATAAAATTTAAACAAGAAATAGTTTGTAACTTTTAACTTTGAAATTTTCACTGCCATCAATGGATTGTGATAAGTTTGAATACTGTACTCAGCTTCATAAATACAAACCAACTTTTCTTTAGCTGTTTATGCATTACTGAAATGCTAAACTTTACAGTAATGAGAAAATGTTTGGAGCAAGGCGGTGGAATCAAGCCAGCATCCTGGGTCACCGCAGGCACACACCTTATCCCTGGACCATAATGTACTTAAGAGTAACAACCTGGAGCCCGCCCAAACTCATAAGGAAACTGGTGACCAGAATGTAGGTTTGATCCCACCATATTGCTCCAAACTTTTCTCACCGATACATCACATTAGTGTAATTTCCTTGTGAATTTTCAATAATTTTCAAATAAATCCATAAAACAGAAGGAAAATACTGTAGGCTGTTAATGAGAAATATCTACTGTTACTGACACCCATCATTAGACAAGAGGTTAGTTAAAATATATTAATAACAAATAAAAACAATTTTAAATACTGAAATAGTTTAAGTATATTTACAGGTATGTATAACTATGGCCCACATAATTTTCTTAGCTGCCACCTAAAGACATTAATATGTACTTTACTAACACACTTACTGGTACGAGCCCCCCTACATCCACCCCCATAAGTGGAAATAGGCATTAACGGCTGCTTGTGTGCTAAATGCAAATGAGTAAAATATGTTTAGTTTGTGTGGCTGCTGCTTTGTCGTAATGCGTGTTAAGATTTTTGTCTACAAATGTCTGCAAATGATTCCTCTTATTTTTTTTTGTAAAGATGATTAAACTTTATAGGTATTCTTCCCCAAGTGAATGAAGGTGGTGGCTTTGTGTTTAGACCTGTCCTTAGACCTGTTTAGATCCTACACACCACGAGGCAAACGAAACTTTGCCTCCTTATGACCCCTCAACCATCTCCCACTTGATTCAAAAACTGATGAATGTAGTGGAGAAATATATATATATATTCTGATAATTTTCAAAGAGAATGGAACGACCTGTGGCACCAGAATGCAACATTGTTAAATAATAAATTCTTGGTTAGGCTGCCACTCTAAACTGAAAAATTACAAAAATATTTACTTTAATTTTATATTCAGTGCCACGTATATTCTATTATCAATACCTGGTACACATTTTTTCATCTCTACACTAGAATATATCTATTCAATTGCTATAAATTACAGCATAGTATATAACAAGAATGCTTACCGGTATGTGCTATGCTGTTATTGTAAAATACTTATGTAATTAATAAAGAGTAATTTTAGGTAAATTACTCAATTTTATGTACAATCATTTATGAATAAAGTTTATTATTTAAGTGTAAGGTACTGTATTAGAATTATTTGAAGTGGTGATCACACCTTCAACAGCTGGCTCCCAACACTATCACCAGCTCATTACAACTACATGACAGTACGCAAGATCTTTTTTTGTATTATTTGGAGAAACTAAATCTGATATTTAAAATTTATTATATTTATGGATCAAGAACCTCAAGAGTTGGGGGAGGGGAAATTGGAAGAGAAATATAAATTCAAGTTCCGTATATTATGCCTGTACAATATAACAAAACAACTAGCCTAAAAACATGTGTCAATTGACTGTTTCAAGTGTTAACCTGATGAGTTTTAGCTGCTCATTCACAAATACAAAAATTAAGGTAAGTTTTGGGGAGCAATACCATTTAGGAATTTATGTTCATATTTACGTCTCAATTCAGGAATTCAGTCAGCAAGGGTATCCATCCAACCCATCCTCTTAATTTGCCATTTCATAAAAAATGCACCTGTACTGCCTCACTAGAAATGTACCAACCCAAGTAACCTATCACGACCAATGCAAAGAAAACCGTCAATATTATGGTGCTTAAATTGTTACTAATGTGTCACACTTTTAACAGATTGGTTGATTCCGTTACAAATGTGTCATATTAGGCGAGAGGACAGGTTGATCCAACCCCATGCCTTTCCCAGAATAAAATCTGTCAAATCAATTGACACTCAATTCTCCAATTACTGCCAGGTAGGTGCACAGAGGCAATGGAGTGAAGGAAAAGTGCCGCATTTTGGCTTGTCCCAACTTCGTCAATCGTGCAGGTTTCATCTGCTTATTAAAAAAGGAGTTCTCACTGTTATTTAATATATTATGTGCATATGCATTTATGTATACAGTACTGCATACATATTAGCAACATTTCCAAAAATTTGACACTGAGAAATTCTAGATTTCAAACTTGTTTCAAGTTTGTCCTAATATGTAACTGACTATTTATACAGTACTGAAATAAATGTTTGTAAGTCCCAGTTATCACAAAGGGGTCTAGGCACTTCAGGTCCACTACTCCTAACTACTATTGTCATTTTCCAATTGTTTGCTCATACATTCATACATGAAATTAAAATCATTTCAAGTATTATGCAGTGTCACAGAACACGTGATGTCAAAATGCAAGAAAAAACAGTGAAATAGGAAGATAGTTGTCGTACCTGTGGCACATTAGGGGCCTCAACACAAGCTTAAGAGCTCCAAGACCGGGCCCCTGGTGGGGCCAAATTGCTACAGTTATTTTCCTATTACACTAAGGTTTTTCTGGCTTCAAGATATCAATGTTTTCAAAACAAGAAAATATTGTAAACATATCATGTTTTAGGGTGAATTTTCCCACTTCTGGTTTTGTTGTAGTATATATGTTGTGCTTTGCAATGGCATCTCTGTAAAATGCATACTTGGCAACTAAACTCATTCTTGTACATGTCTAACCTTCACTTGAAACAATCCAGCAATCCCAGTTTTATTATGCCGCATGTTAATTTTTCCATAAGTTAACAACCTGATTTCCAAATCAATATTTACCCAGATTATATCTGAATCTAAATTTATCCAATTTGTATATTTAGTACATTATTAATGTCCCCTTTGATATAATCTTTCATCCATTCATATACTCTACTTCAATCATATCACCCCATGTCATTATTAAAAATACTGTGAAACTTATTTTCCATAAAAGCTTTCCCACTACTGAATACCATCCTGGGCCATAGTCACCACACAAGAAGAGGTTAGTAAACAACTACTTGCACACATTTACAGTCAACATTTTACAACAGCGTGGTGCTCGTACAAACCGTTATCACTAAAACTATATAAAATGTATATTTGGTCTGATTTCGACTCACATTTTCCCATAAAAATGTTGCCAATTCATCAATGTACACGCCAGCATCACGGTACTCTCCACTATATCTGTAAAAGATTAAAAGAATTGCAAAGTCATATCATTCAGTGTCAACATAATACTGACAATATTAAACAAACACAAAACCAATAACCACATGGGACACTACAGGAATAATAAGACCGTAATGCACCCATGAGAAAATACCGAGGCCATACAATGGAATTCCACAAGTGTAGTGCGCATGCCTGGGGAGTTCAGGTGTTTGCGTACGATTCCATCGTATGGCATCAATATTTTCTCAATGAAGGCAGTGTTCTAAGATAGAGAGAGAACTCACCTGACATACGCCCATACAGTGAGCATGATGAGGAACACACCCATGCCCAAGTTACACATGTTGGCAAATGAGTACATGCCAAACAGGCCAAAGATACCCGACATGAGGTAAAAGAACATGAGCACCGAGAAGAGGGTAGCGGGTGTGCGGGCAGCCTTGAAGACATTTTTTGCTTCATTCTGCTGTGAATATTTCAAATAAATCTTATCTATCTCCTGTAAAAAAAGAGAAAGGGACACAATCAGTAAATGTACATTAATTACTGTAAATAATCACATACAAAGCCGGTGAATGTCACATTTAGAGAGAGAGAGAGATTCACCTTCTGTACACAGTACTGTATCTTAAAAAGTGAATTAGAAACTATTGTAAATATAGTATTAAATGTGATTCTATTAAACTAATAACTTTGTGAAGACCAACACCAATCTTTTAAAGCAAATCTAAAAACAAAATTACTGTGTGTGTGTGTGTGTGTGTGTGTATGAATGCAATGCATGTGTAAAAATGTGTTTTATGTAACAATAATTGTATTCCATCATGAAGAAGACGAGATAAATTGCAAGTGTTCAAACCTCTTCTAGCATCTGCTGGTACTTTTCAAGAACACACTTATTTTTCCGGCCATATTTGTTTTTCTCTACATATGTCTGTATGGCTTTTTCTTTTGCTCTATTGTGTTCGGCTTCCATTTGTACAGTCTTGAGGAAGGGACGGTCGCCTCCTACCAGTGCCTCCATCGTCTCTGCATAATACTCTTTGCCAGCCTCCAGTGCAGCTTGACTGCTAGCTTGGGCTGCAAACTGGAAAGCAATTAAAAAAGTTATTATGTGTACAGTTTATAAAGCAGGTATTTAATTACCTATCTCAATAGGTTATAAAAGTTATAATAAACTGATTAAATACTGTATTTTCTGGCATATATGACAAGGATATTGCGTGGGAAAAACTATTTTAGCGTTTCAGCATAATTCTATCAACGGTGTTCAAGAACTGTGTAAGTACTGTACTGTATGAGCTCAGTTATCTGAAGCCCGCTGAACCAAATATTTGGGTTATCCGTGATTTGGGTCATTATGGTGCTGTTTGGTGAGGTCTGGAGTTCAGCATAGGCAAGGTATTGAAGTCATTACTCTGTGTATTTAGGGTGGGTTTTTGTTTCTTTTATGAGTATAGCTACCAGGATTTACATTACATTACAGTATTAGTTAAGTGTGATCCTCTGTGATCCTAGTTCAGTATGATCCTCTGTCCTGTGTGAATGTGAACACCAGAATTATCTTCACTCTAATATGACCTAATTGAATTCCTCAGATTAGGCAAAATTGTAATCAAAATCCTTCTAGGCTTTTGAACTCCTGGATATCCTCCTCCAGTCAAACCCAAAACCAACTCAAACACATGCATGGTTTTTATCACTGATTACGAATCTTTAAAGCATGTGGAAGAGCTGACCTTGACAAGAGTAGTAGGCTCTGGCAGGTCATTGTCCTTGAACACCTCCATGAAGAGGGTGAAGAACTTGAGGAGGTCCCGCGCCTTGATGGGCTGGCCTCCGATCTCCTTCTTCACCAGATTCTCTGGGGACAACAGCCTCGGCACTAGCACTTTCAGGTGGTTCACAAACTCCTCTTCAATATCTGAAAGAAAGAAAAAATGTAACACTCTTAACACTTGCTTTATAGGATTTTAAGAGCATCATGTCCAGCACTCAATTAAATGGTCATTATGACTACAGTATATTTAACTGGGATATTATATTTACCTTGCTAGAGTACTGTATCAGTAACACAGTATTGGCTCTTAAACTAAAATGGGTGAAATAGATACATCAAGACCTAAAAAGAAGAAAGCTAAGCCACTTAAGGACAGCCAATACCTCGAACTATCTAATGTCTGCAGATGACAAGGTAAAGCTGCTGGTCATCAACCAACGGCTGAAAAAAGACAAACTATCACCCACAGGATGATATAGAGCCATAGACACACTAGAACTAACTCTCTTAGTGTCAGAATAGCTAACAGATGGAAAGCATTAGGCAGTGATGTGGTGGAGGTAGACTCCAGACACAGTTTCAAATGTAGATATGATAGAACCCAATAACCTCAGTAATCTGTACACCAGTTGGTTGATGGTTGAGAGGTGGGACCAAATAGCTGAAGCTCCACCTCCCTACAAGCACAACTAGACATGTACAATTATTTGAGTACTCATGATATCCCATCTTCCAAGTAAGACACTGTCATATGACAGCATCGTCAGCACCACCAACCAAGAGCAGCACCAGCACCAAGAGCAGCAGCACCACCACCAGCAGCAGGAGGAGGAGACGGCAAGCGTCACGTCACGCTCTATGCTTCACTACCCTCACCATTTTCACACCACCACTCCTCCATTACCACTCCTCCGACACCACTAGTGTCAACACACATTTGCTACAGCGTCCCCGTGAAGGAACTGGTGTACAAGATGGGGGGACACCAGCTAGGATAACAAGGTATAAAATGAACTTTGTCCGGGAGCACCACTACCCTCCCATTACCACTTATCTCCACTACTACGCTTCCACCACTACAACAAAAATACCCACGTAAACAAAATCTTTAACCTAGTCCAAAATAGTCCAAAATCTATGTTAAGTTGGATTAGGGCATGGCTATACCAAAGGAAACAGAGTTAGTATAAATGGGGTTAAGTCAGAGTGGGAAAATGTTTTAAGTGGAGTACCTCAAGACTGTCTTGGGACCTTTATAATATATATAAATGATTTAGATTCAAGTTTGAGTAGCAACATTTGCAAATTTGCCGATGATACAAAAATCGGTAGGGAAATTAAACCGGAAGAAGACACACTATCACTTCAAGTTGATCTAAATAGGGTTTTGAAATGGTCAAAAGATTGGCAGATGCAGTTTAATGCTGATAAAGGTAAAGTTCTGAGGCTGGGTAATGATGATAGAGTTACAAGATACGAGCTAGATGGTGTTGAGATTGCGAAGTCGGATTGCGAAAGGGATCTGGGAGTTATGATTAGTAAGAATTTAAAACCAAAGGATCAATGCATAAATGTTCGTAATAAGGCAAATAGGACACTGGGATTTATTAATCGAAGCATTAGTAACAAGACACCTGGTGTAGTTCTTCAGCTATATCTTGCTCTGGTTAGGCCCCATTTAGATTATGCAGTTCAGTTTTGGTCGCCGTACTATAGAATGGATATAAATTCATTTGAACGTGTCCAGCGTAGGATGACAAAGTTATTTCCCCAAATTAGAAATCTTTCATATGAAGAAAGATTAACAAAGCTTAAATTGCATTCACTAGAAAGGCGAAGAGTTAGGGGTGACATGACAGAGGTTTACAAATAGATGAATGGACATAACAAAGGGAATATTAATAGGGTATTAAAGGTATCAACACAAGACAGAACACGAAACAATTGGTGTAAATTGGATAAGTTTAGATTTAGGAAAGACTTGGGTAAATACTGGTTTGGTAACAGGGTTGTTGATTTGTGGAACCAATTACCGTGTAACGTGGTGGTGTCCCTCGATTGTTTCAAGCGTGGGTTTGGACAAGTATATGAGTGGGAATGGGTGGTTATAAATAGGAGCTGCCTCGTATGGGCCAATAGGCCTTCTGCAGTTACCTCTGTTCTTATGTTCTTATCATTACTTTAATTCCCATCTTTACAACTTCCCTTCGCCTCTACCACGTCCCTTGACTTCACTACAAAAACAAAAATCTGGGTAGAAAGTTTTACCGTCCTATAAACTGTGTTAATAAAAATGGTCACAAACTTTCTACAATAATTTTGTACGCGCGATCCAACTGGCCTGGCTCTCACAGAGCTTAATATGAATTAGTATTTGATGCTTGCTTTATTATGTACCCCATACCCATCCCGTGGGCGGTGGTGTAAAGGGTTACAGAGGCACATACAGTAATGGGTTCAGGAACTGAATCCCATAGTTCGTTTAGCTAAGTAAGTGACAATCTTTTGAAGCTAGTTACACAACTGTTAATGTTATATATGCATGCACATATATACAATCATTTACACATATATACATATCGATAATCTTTTTGTATCACAAGTGATTCAACAAGAGGCTCACAAGTCACTATACAAGGCACTTTACATCTATGGTGAGTCACACAGTTGTCACCAGTTGATTGACAGTTGAGAGGCAGGACCAAAGAGCCAAAGCTCAACCCCCGCAAGCACAATTAGGTGAGTCACACAGTTACTAGCCTTGCTGCACACCCACCCAACTGGGCGGCAGCTTTACAGTCATGTGCTCCACACCCACCCAACTGGGCGGCAGCTTTACAGTCATGTGCATGCATTACCTACAGTAAGCAAATTTTGAATACTTCGCTAAGATTCCCGGCAGTACATCATTATGAATGAAGTACTTACACAATTCTTGAACTCCATTGATTGTGTTATCTCCAAATTCGACAATTTTTACACATTCCATTACATAATGACGCAAAGTATGCGAATAGTTCTGCTGACAGTTTACATTTAGTCAAGTCTACATCATCAGATGTTACAAACTCCCAGAGGTACTTGTAGTTGAGCCTAAGCCTAGCAGTGGTAACATCTAGAGTGCACTTTTAGGAGAGTGCAAGAATGTCTAGAGTGCGTCAACTCCCTCTTTAGGAGAGTGCAAGAGTGTCTGGAGTGCGTCAACATTGTGCAATACCAATAAGACAGGTTGCCGGGGGTGTCTGGCAAGGTGGTTAGAGGGGAGGAGGGGAGGAGGGGAAGAGGGGGTGAAGGGAAAGAGTTGTGATTGCGAAGTCGGATTGCGAAAGGGATCTGGGAGTTATGATTAGTAAGAATTTAAAACAAAAGGATCAATGCATAAATGTTCGTAATAAGGCAAATCGGACACTTGGATTTATTAATCGCAGCGTTAGTAACAAGACACCTGGTGTGGTTCTCAAGCTATATCTTGCTCTAGTTAGGCCCCATTTAGATTATGCAGTTCAGTTTTGGTCGCCATATTATAGAATGGATATAAATTCACTTGAACGTGTCCAGCGTAGGATGACTAAGTTAATTCCCCAAATTAGAAATCTTTCATATGAAGAAAGATTAACAAAGCTTAAGTTGCATTCACTGGAAAGGCGAAGAGTTAGGGGTGACATGATAGAGGTTTACAAGTGGATGAATGGACATAACCGGGGGGATATTAACAGGGTATTAAAAGTATCAACACAGGACAGAACACGAAACAATGGGTATAAATTGGATAAGTTTAGATTTAGGAAAGACTTGGGTAAATACTGGTTCAGTAACAGGGTTGTTGATTTGTGGAACCAATTGCCGCGTAACATTGTGGAGGTGGGGTCCCTCGATTGTTTCAAGCACGGGTTGGACAAGTATATGAGTCGGATTGGGTGGTTATAGAATAGGAGCTGCCTCGTATGGGCCAATAGGCCTTCTGCAGTTACCTTTTTTCTTATGTTCTTATGTTCTTAAAGAGGGGGTGAAGGGAAAGAGGGGGGGAAGGGAGAGGGGGGGGGAGGGGAAGAGGGGGAAGGGAAGAGGGGGAAGGGAAGAGGGGAAGGGAAGAGGGGGAAGGGAAGAGGGGAAGGGAAGAGGGGGAGGGAAGAGGGGGAAGGGAAGAGGGGAAGGGAAGAGGGGAAGGGAAGAGGGTGGGAAAGAGGGGTGTTGACGGGGCTACCAAGTATTGTTTGCTGTTTTAGATTTAACTACTTAACTAACTCAGAACGAAGTGTCCATGTAGCACTGGCTATGGTGAGCCCGTAAGCTACCAAGTGGGGAACGTGCCCTTTTGAAGAGGTGGGTAGGAAGAGTGAGGAGGGGAGGCGAGGGGAAACAAGGTGGAGGAGGCTGACACACCGGGTAGGGAGCACTCTACCCCCGCTCCGCTCCGCCCCCCCCCCCCCCTCACACACTGTGGACCTGACCCCACCTCCACTCTCACCTCCACTTGTCACACCCACTGCTCTCGACTTGAACTGTTTTGCCTCTCTCACACCCCCACACACACACACCCGACACACACACACACACACACACTACAGTTTTAAATGTAGATATGATTAGCCCATTAGGCTCAGGAACCTAATACACCAGTTGATTGATCTGTTGAGAGGCGGGACCAAAGAGCCAAAGCTCAACCCCCGCAAGCACAAATAGGTGAGTACACACGCACACACGAGAGAGAGAGAGGGGGGGGGGGGGGGGGGAGGGGGGAGGAGGGGATGGGGGAGTTGGGGAGGGGGGAGGGGGGGAGTGAGGGAAGAATGTAGAAAATGAGACAGGGAGAAAGGGAAAATGGAGAAAGCGAAAGAGGGGGCATGGGGGGGGGGGGGAATAGAGGCGTGAGAGAGAAAGGAAGAGGGAGTAGAAAGTATCCAGCACGGAGCCTGGCGCCCACACAGGGAATCTCGACTATAGGAAACAGTGTCTGGAGGCCAGACGCTTGGTGCTCGCCTCGCCCAACTTTGCACGGAGGATGGTCTGCGGCACGGAACGGACATAGGCCCACCCCGTCCCCCATAAGTTAAATGCTCTAAGAAATATTACCAATTATAACGACTCCCGGGTAATTTTGAAGGAGTCACGTGTGAAATATTTGGTAATTCCCATAAAGTTTT